AGTGGAGAGAGAAGAGCCAGAAAGAGAGCAAACAGCAGAAACAGAGTGTAAGTGGGCGGAGTCTTCCTTTTAAAGGGGTCCTTTGCACCTGCATGCACACTAGCCCTCATGGGCTGACCAGGGTACTGCCTGAGTATAGTCTGCCAGGTGACAGGAGCAGGCCAGCGTAATGCTGGGATTAGACAGTCTCTTTTGGCTCCCATAGACACCCACATATACTCAACAGACACACGTACTAAACTAAAAATAACTGTCTTTTAAAAATAAAAAAAAAGATTTAAAATGAACGAATAAATGAATGAATATCTTTAAGGGTAGAACTACTTGTTTTCAACCTTGATGATCTCAGTTGATCCTTGGGACCCACATGGAAGAAAGTAAAAAACAACTGTAAATATGTCTATGACTTCCAAATGTTGTGGTAGCTGTGCCTGCCTCAAAAATAAATGAATATAAAATTTAAAAGTAAAAGAATTTTTTGTTTTGCTAAGGTTGTGGTGCAAGAATAAATTCTCTAGCAGTTGGGAGAGTAAGGCAAGGGGATAAAGAATTTGAGGCCAGCCTGGGCTATGTAGTAAAAGCATATCTCAACCAAAGGATAAGCAGAGAAAAACCAAAACCAAGAACAATTTCTGGGAGTACCTGCCCACACAGGAAAGGCATCAGTCCTTCCAGACCCCACCCTCCAACGTCCCCAGGTTCAGGTGAGCTTGGGTCCCCCTGCAACCACCCCCCTACCGCTCATCACCCACTCCCTCAATCTTCCTGGGTCCACTCCCGGCATCCAGAGTACCTGCCCACATAGGAAAGGCATCAGTCCTTCCAGACCCAACCCTCCAACGTCTCCAGCTTGGGTCCCCCTGGGACTACCACCCACTCCCTCAATCTTCCGGGGGCCTGCTCCTGGCATCCAGAGGACCCGCCCACACAACAGCAACAGCTGCACCCAGTTTGTAGTTTTTCTATCATGCACTGAATCAGCCTCATCATGAGCCATAGGAATGCAGTACCAGGGAGGGAGTCCCCTTCTCCAGAGACATCACTACCAGCCCAACAGCACTCTCATTTCAAAGCTCTTGATTTTTCAGCTCTGTGGGGTCCTTCTCCCAAACTACTTTTAAGTGTTAACCTTCACACACACACACACACACACACACACCATGTGTGCCCACTCACACTCTGCACAGTAAGAATTCATATGTGGCGCCAGCTGTTCTTTGCCATGTCTGGAGAGTTTCTTTCTGCACATGCCCAGGTTAATATTTTCCTTTTTAATACTGTACCTTATGGATTGCCATTTGCCTCAAGGCCCTCTGGTCTCTGTGTCCTCAACACTTTGAGTTTTGTGGTTGCTCCTGCCTCTCACCTTAGCAGTTCAAACTCTGCCTTCAGGCGAAAGCTGGGATGATCATAGGGTTTGTCTTACTTGTTCCTTCTCAGAGATCATACTTGGCACTGGTATGGGTCCTTGTTTGAATATAGTGGCTTCCTGTATAGTGACCAGTTTTCTGGCTGTTTATGCCAGAAAGCCAAGTTCCATTTCAATCTCTCTTTTTATTTCCCCACAGTCATGATAAAATTCTTTGGCTTGATTTTATGTCTGAATCAATATCAAACCTAAAATACCTATATTAAAAGATGTATATTCAGAGTGTTTAGGGAACAGGTCAATGATGGCATATTTGCCTAGTGTTCACAAAGTCCCGGGTTCAATCCCTGACATAGAAAATATATAAAAATAAGGCCCTGCTCTCTGTTGAGAGCTTTGAAAGCATAGAAACTGAATTATGCGTTGTATTGGTTAATCTTAACTGTCAATTTGTTGGAATTTATCTTTTTTTTAATTTTTAAGATTAATTTATTTATTACATATACAGTGTTCTGCCTATATGCCAGAAGAGGACACTGGATTGAATTGTAGATGGTTGTGAGCCACTATGTGGTTGCTGGGAATTGAACTCAGGACTCCTGGAAGAGCAGTCAGTGCTCTTAACCTCTGAGCCATCTCTCCAGCCCAGAAATTTATCTTTTTTTATGACAGGGTTTCACTGTGTAGCCCTGGCTGTCCTGGAACTCACCATGTAGACCACCAAGCTGGCGTCCAACATGCATCGATCCTCCTGCCTTTACCTCTGGAGTGTTAAGATTAAAGGTGTGTGCTACCATGCCTGGTACTTGCTGAGGTTCAGAATCACCATGGAAACACACCACTGGGTGTATCTGTAAGAGTGTTTCCAGGAAAGTTTAACTCAAGAGGGAAGACTCATGTCAATGTGGGCATCACCATACTCTGGTCCTGGGTTGACTAAAAAGCAAGAAATGAGCTGAGCATTTCTTCATCGCTCTCTGCTCTCTGACAGTGGATATTATGTGACCCACTGTCCCACACCCTGCCACCATGCCTTCCCTGCCTTAAACTGTGAGACATAGCTGGAAGTGGTCTCAGGGTATCCCATGATGCATTGTCTAGGTTCTTAGTGTCTCAAAGAAAAAGTTGAGCAAGAGGCAGAACGGCAGCAATGGAAATGTAGATTTACTTAAAGAGAGGGCAAAAGCACAGAGTATACTCCACAGGGTGCAAGCAGGCTCAAGCACATTGTGTGGTTCTGTTACGGGGTATCTGAAGAAAAAGCCCACCGAGATACCTGAATAAGTCATATGGAGTCTTTATCACCAGTGGAGCTGTCCCAAGCACAATAACCGGAAGCTGCCTTGACCTCCAGTTTGAGTTTTTAAAGGCAAAACCTGCAATTGTGACATATACAGAAAGGCAGCTCTGGTCAGGCAGTTCTCATAGCTGGGATACTTAAAGGTCCTTCACAGGCTTAACTGAATGGAGCAGTTGGGTAGGATCCGGAGCCCTGGGACAGCAGCCACCTGAAGGAGCAGGCTGATGAGAAGCAAGCGGATCTGTCTGAAGCCAAAAACTACAAGTAGGGCTAGCAACAGGCGGTGAGTCGATTTAGGAGATATTCTAGCAGGATCTAGGTAGCAGACATTCTAGAAGGATCACTGAAAATCTTTCTATAAGGGAGGAATGGAACTTGGAGCACCCTTTTATGGAGTGGGGGCAGTAGTATAGCACGGTAATAATGGGGTTAGACTCTTAAAACATGCACTGTAAACAGGTGAAATAACCACACTCATATACTTAAAAGCCTTTATTAAGCTCCTATGTGCTTATGAAATAGTAGGTAGTAATACATGATTATCACGAATGAATAAACAGACCATCGGAGGCTAGTGCCGCTGGAGGTGGATTTTAATGGAATGGGGTGTTACGCCTATTTATAGGAATGGTATGTGTGTAAACTTTTAATCATGATGCTACATGGCACTTGGAATTAAGCATGTACTCTTTGATTTTAAGAGTAGCTTTGATATAGCTGGCTTTTTTGACCCTCAATTGACCCTTCTGTGAGTTACAATTCATGAATCAAGTCAGGAAGTCCATGAACCTTTAAAAAGTAATAATGACTCTAATTGGAGACATACCCTAGTTAGTCCTAGCTACTTAGATGGCTGAAGATGGATGCCCAAATGTTGCAGAGCAATCTTGGGTGACTATCCAGGCAGCCAGTTGTTTTTGTCATTTTTCACAGTTTTTGGAAGTCACTTGCTGACACTTCCTGTTTACTCAGTTCATACTAATTCCTTCTCGGGTCTCTGAGGGAGGTGAAGACTAGATAGTATAGTTATGATTTTCCTTGTTTACCAGACTCAGAAAGGAAACTCACTAAAGAGGTGTAAAATGTAGGAGATTTAGGTACAAGACTTTGAACTTACCAAGATAGAATAGATAATGGAGTATTTTCTCTGGATTTGCCAAATGACCTAAACATTGCTGATACTTATTACCTGTATATATTATATACTTATTGTACTTATGTAGTTTTTCTTATGTTAATTGTAACTTTCTTCTTTTTGTATTAGACAAAAAAGGGGAATTATGGTGATATATTATTTATGATTTATTAAAGCTTGCCTGAGGATTCAGAGTGCAAAGCTAGCCACAAGCCATAGAGCCAGGTGGTGGTGATATACACCTTTAATCCCAGAAGCCATACTAGTTAGTCATACAGTCAGATGGTGGTGGTACACACCGTTGTAATTCCAGGACTCAAGAGACAAGCAGACGGATCTCTGTTAGTTCAAGGCCACTCTGAGATACATGAAATTGATCCAGCCTAAAAGAAAAACAGCTCACACAAAGGTGATCTCAACATTTGGGATCACATGCCTTTAATTCCAGCACTTCAGGTATTTAAGATAGGAGCAGATACTCAGTTGGGGGCATTTTGGTCTCCAGCAATGTTGAGGGCAGGATGACTTCAGCCTGGGTAGGGCTAGGAGCTACCGGCTTGGCTGCTTTGCTTCTCTGATCTGTTTCTGGGTTTTTATTTTTTGTGTTACAATTCCCAGCACCAACTTGTCTTTACTGTTCATATATGAAAGCTAGCATTGGACAAAGCAGTGGGTCACTTGCAAAAACCATTAAAACTATATATACTGTACTATATTATATATAGCTATATATGCATACAATTTCCCCCAAGGCCTATTCCCTGCTTGAGAGGGAAATTTTAGAGTGTCAACTTCAGTCTCTGAATGTTTTAAACACAGTTCCCTTTTTGCTGATATGTTTACAGTTTCTTTGAACAGAAAACCGGAAGTATTACAATCTGTTTCCTTAAGTAATGACATGGCAAAACCTGACAATAGAAACAAACAATTCTAAGTTACTTATGAATCTCGGTTTCTTAAATCAGTAACAGACATGATTTAGGTTAATTTGTTATAAAAACATGGTAGCTTGCCACACCGTTATTACATAGGTGCCATATTTTACCTTTCACGGACTCCACAACTGGAAACTCACACCAAGCTGAACATAGTGGTGCTGTGTTTGTCATTTCAGCACTCAAGAGGCCAGTGGAGGAGGAGGAGGAGGAGGAGGAGGAGGAGGAGGAGGAGGAGGAGGAGGAGGAGGAGGAGGAGGAGGAGGAGGAGGAGGAGGAGGAGGACTGCCTTGGAGTCTGAAATTAGCCTGGATTGTACCGCAAGTGTCAGGCTAACCTGAACCACAAAGCAAGACTCCTGATCCTGAAGTGTGTGCCATCACGGTCAACTGTATTTTGTTTTTGTTTTTGAGACAAGATATGTAGCCCAGGCTTGCCTAGAACTTACTATGAAACCCAATCTGGCTTTGTCTTTTATGTATTTGGGTGTTTTGTCTTCATGGATGTCTGCATACCACTGCCTTAAATACTAGAACTCGGGAGGCAGAGGCAGGCAGATCTCTGGGAGTTTGAGGCCAGCCTGGTCTACAAAGAGAGTTCCAGAAAAGCCTGGCTGTTACACAGAGAAACCCTGTCTCAAAAAAAAAAATCAAGCAAACAAAAGAAGAGTGTATTAGGTACTATGAGGCAATAATTATAGACAGTTGTGAGAGGCCATGTGAGTGCTGGGAATTGAACTCAGGACCTCTAGAAGATTATCCAGGACTTTTAACCACCAGGATGTCTCTTCATACCCCAGGCTGGCTTTGTACTCACAGTAACCCTCCTCCCTCAACCTACCTAGTACTAGGACTATAAATAAGCATGTGCTACCAGACTTAGCTCATATTCTTTTAATCATTTAATAATGAAATAATAATCATATATTTATAATGAAATGTATTAAATGTTAAAACATACAGGAACTATGAGATAAATCTCAAATATCTTTCAAGGAACCCATTATGACAGATGTACTTTCCAAAAATGGCTGCACTACTAAGTGTGTTTCTCTATGCTTTTCTTTTTCCTTTAGAGGAATGTTTTATTAGGAACCAGGGGTTAAAAGCACTTTTTAAAACTTTGGAACAGGACCTGGATTCAGTATCCAGCACCCACATGGTGGCTCACAACCACCTTGAATGAGATCTGGTGCCCTCTGCTGGCATGCAGGCAGAAGACTGTATACACAATACATAAATAAATTAAAAAAATAAAATAAAATAAAATGCTAGAGGATTGAACCCCCTGTTATCCTGACCTGTATCTCTCATCTTTCAGTGATGTGGGGCTTCTTGATTGTCTTGTAAGAGCTGCAGTAACAATAAGACCTGTGTTTCTGTGATTGACAGTCAGCAAATGGAACTTCCCAGGAAGGTGGAGCAATATGGCTGAACTTGAGTAAAACTTGCATGAAGGTCAGTTTGGACTCTTTCCCTGGGACAGCTGGACACACTGCCTGGCCTGGCTGTAAGCTGCCGGGCAATGAGGCTGGGAACAAATGCCAGAGCGTGGGGTTCACTCTCCAGCTGAATGGTTCTTGGCACTCTCAGCTCTCTGGGAGATTCAGTACAAGTTCCTATTACTGTAAGTAGATGGCCTGATTAGCATGCTCTGTCCAGTGGAGGACAAACAAGTCATTTGTCCATCCTTATACTGGTGTTTTTGTACACAGGAGCAGCTGTTTTAAGGAAGGAAACACGAATGACTTGACAATTTGCAAAACTAAGGGGAAATCTCCCAAAGATGCCTGTGTGTGTTACCAATCCTGGATTTTAGGTTTCTTTGCTTTTATTTATTTATTTTTTAATTTAATTTAATTTTGGTTTTTCGAGACAGAGTTTCTCTGTGGCTTTGGAGGCTGTCCTGGAACTAGCTCTTGTAGACCAGGCTGGTCTCGAACTCACAGAGATCCGCCTGCCTCTGCCTCCCGAGTGCTGGGATTAAAGGCGTGTGCCACCAATGCCTGGCTTTTCTTCGCTTTTATTACTGAGCATTTCTTGTATGTTTTAAGTATTCATTATTTGTTAGGCAGTGGCTTGTATAGCCCAGGCTGGCCTTGAACCCTCTATGTAGCTGAGAATTATCTAGATTTCCTCCTGCAGCTTCTACCCCCTGGAGTGCTGGAATTACAAGTATGAGTAGCAGCACCTATGGGTTGCTGGAGATCAAACCCAGGGCTTTGTGTATGCTAAGCAAGCACTCTACCAACTGAGCTATGTCTCCAGAACTGTTTGTTTTTAAAACAAGGTCTCATTGGGTTTGGATTTTCCTAGTTTGTCCTGCATACCACTTTAGTAGCTGAAGAGTTTGCTATGGAAGCAAGAAGTCCAGGTTTCAGATCCCCAGAACCTACATAAATGTGAATATCCAGTCATTATTGTGGCAGCTCACCTATAAATCCAGCTATTGAAGGAGGAGATGGGAATCCCCAGAGTAAGCTGGCTATGGAGATTATTGTGTGGGTGAGCTCTGGATTTGACTGGGAGACCTTGCCTCAAAAGGATAACATGGAAGAGCAATCCAGGAAGATTCCCACTGTCAACCTTGTGTCTTTATAGGCCCAAGTACACACATGCTCCCATACTCACGCAAACATGCATATACACACCCCACACACACAGACACATAACACACACAGACACACAAACAGATTTCCTTATGGTTTTTTACAAACAAAAAACAGTCTGTGGCAGGCCATTCTTCCTTCTTCCTTCTCAAAAACTCCTCCAAATTTACTTCTGCCTCAGAATCCCCCTTGCTGTGAGGTTGTGCATGGTGCTGTCTGGAGTCTCCAGCCCATTGAGTAGTGGCTTTTGGAAAGTTCCTGTATGCTGCCTTTCTTTTTTCCTTTTTGAGACAGGATCTCACCATGTAACTCTAACTGGGTGGGAACTCTATTGTAGACCAGGCTGATCTCAAACACAGAGCTCTGCCTGCCTCTACCTCCTAAATTTCAGGATCAAAGGCGTGTGCTATTACCATATCTAGCTCCCTGTAAATTTTAATCGGTTATTAATTGATGTTTAGTATGAATCCAGGGCCTCTGTACTTGAGCTGTGAGTCCCCTCCCCCCAGTGTTAAGAGTTTTACCATGGAGTATTTCAGATGGACTCGTGCTTAGTAGCTCAGGGTGGCTACAGTCACAGCCCCCTGGCTTCTGCACAGCCTAGCAATCGCCAGTTTAACAATCTAGCTAGTCATATAGGCAACAATGGATTTTGGAGCAAGGTCAAGTTCTGAAAGTCCCAGAGGTTAGGATTTCTAAATGTCCAGGAGGGCGGTACAATTAAGCCTGTAGCAAAGAACAAGAACCCAGTCAGTTTTCCCAAGCCAACTGGCTGGGGTGTGTGTGTGGGGGGGGGGACAGCTGAGGAACACCTGATGGTGTCTTGTTGTGTCCATTCTTGGCCAGTTTGCATGACAATATTTTAATTGTGTGAAAAGTTCAATAGCAATTGTATCCATTCTATAGATGGAGAAAAGTTAGACCAAGCCTTCTACTTCTTACTATCTGTCTGAAGAAATCAGGCACACCTGATTAATGTTTTTCCATTTGGAGTGACTATATGAATACTTTTTTTTCCATTACTGGGCACCAGGGCCTCATACATACGGTAAGCATTCTATCAAAGAACAGCATATCTGGCTCTACTCATAGCTTTTAAGCACTTGCAAGAAACCAAGTAGAATACTTTTAATAAATGTCTGACACATAGCAAATCACTTAATTGTCAAAGTAATAAAGTTGTTACATCTTTGTGTTCTTAAAAGGGGAAACTGAGTCGGGAAGTGGTTATGAGTAATTTTCTCAACCCTGATCAAGGAGGAAGTCAAAGCCACCACAGCAAGAAAATGTTGGTAAAATCCAGCCAGGTCCAATCCCAGAACTCAGGAGGATCAAGAATTTCAAGCTAGCCTACTAAAAAGCAAGACTCAGTAAAATAAACAAAATGTTACTAGTTTTACAGTCCATGTAAATCTCGTGTAGTGGGTATTTTGCTTCTGGGAATTGAACTATGACCTCACATGTGAGAGTTCTAACACTGAGCTTTAACAATAATTTTTGTTTTTTGTCTTGGGTTTTTTGCTTCTCTTTTTGAGACAAGGTCTCATTGTGTAGCCCTGGCTCTGACCCGGAATTCACTCTGTAGACCAGTCTGGCCTGTAACTCACAGAAATCCACCTGCCTCTGCCTCCCGAGTGCTTTCTTTTTTGTTTATGGAAAGAAATTTTTTATACCAGTTATTCTATTCTGATCACAATTTCTCCTCCCCCAGTTCTTCCCAGATCTTCCCCACAGACCCAACTCCATGTCCTTTCTTTCTCTTTAGAAAACAAACAGGCAAACAAATAACTAACAAACAAAATTTAAAAAACAAACAAACAAAACTTGAGACAGGGTTTCTCACTGACCTGGAGTTCACCAAATAGGCTAAACCCAGGAATCCTCCTGCCTCCACCTCCCTAGCACTGGGATTACAAATATGTACAACCATGCCTAGCTTTAAAAACAAAACATGAGTTCTGCAACTGCACTTGGGTCCTATGTCTGTGTGGCACTTTACTGAGTTTTTGCTTTAGTTTTTTGAGACAAGGTCTCATTCATAGTCCAGGCTAGGCTCTAACTTGTAGTGATCCTCCTGTCTCCACCTCCCAAGTGCTTAGATCATAGGCATGTTGGTATACTCATCTTGTGTTTAGGCTCTTAATTGCTAAGCTATCTTTCCCATGGTTTTATAGCATCTCAGTTAAGAGAACCAATAACAATTAGAATTATTCTATTAGAGTCATAGGAGCATATGACATTAGCATGGGTCATTCCCCAAAGTTGGGGGCAATTGATACATGGTGAATGACATTGCCTTTTAGAAATTACACAAATGAAACCACAGAAGATTAAACAAACAGCATCACAGATACACTTGACCATCAGTGGGTGTCCATCAAGCTGCTGAGTATGTGGGAGGCTGGGAAGCATAAACACCCATCACACTACTCACAGTGCCCTACTGTAGTTCCATCAGCAAACCCCATCTGTTACAATATGCCCCATTTCAGTAGCCTGGTGCTCAGAATGGCTGAGGCAAACCCACTACGGTAGGTACAGGAAGCCAGAGGCCTAGAGTTGGCTGTTCGCATAGCGCTATGCGCTGTTCTCCACTTAGAGGCAACTGAGAGTCATCTGGTGTCCCAGCCCGGGATGAAATCTCCCTCCAGAACAGCTCCCTTCACACTTAGATTTCGTGATCTCCAAGTAATCTTTCATTTACTTTGTTTGTTATGTGCTTTGGGAAAACAAAACAAAACAAAAACCTGGATTGAGTGAGCATATAGGGATCCTGGTGAAGGTGAGAAATAGCCTTTTGCAAACCTTTAAGCTAGATCCTGCACCCCCACACACACACCCAGTGCTGGAGATGGAACCTAAGTCTTGTGTACACTAGGTACCACTGAGCTACACTCCCAGCCTTTGTTTTGTTTAGGATCTGATCTCACTATGTAATACATGTTGAACTTGGACTCACAATCCTATGGCCTCTGCCTCCAGAGTGCTGGAGTTAGAGACACGAAGCATGATGCTTGGCTAGAATTTTTATGCATCAACTTCTAAGACTGTGTTAATCACAACCCAGTATCCTTGAGAAAGGGAACTCCGGCAAACTCTGAGTCAGAGTTCCAAGTGCAATGCATCTGAATTTCAGGCCTGGGGAGGCGGATCTCTACAGGGTCTGGTCCAGCCTAGTCAGCATGAGGTGTAGATTAAAACATAGCTAACTCCTGCAGGCTCCAGTGGATATTTTCAATCCAATGGTCACATAGATGGCCCTGGTTAAACTAAATCAGTCGCCAAACAAAACCAAAAGGCTTGAACTTGGAAAAGGAATAGGAGGGAGGAGGGAGGTTGTTAGTGGTGGGAAAGAAACAAGAGAGGGTATGGGAAGAGTGGCTAGGTTATATACAGGTATGAACCGTTAAAATCCCTTCTTAATTTTTTAAAACAATAGCCAGGGCCCGGGTAGTGATAACAAACACCTTTAATGCCAGCACTCTGGAGGCTGAGACAGGCAGATCTTTGTGAGTTTGGGACCAGCCCTGGTCTACAAAGGTTCAGAGAAACCCTGTCTTGGAAAATTATTCTGGAGGCAGAGGTAGGTGATATCTCTGTGAGTTTCAAGATAACCTGGTCCACCTAGTGAATTCTGGGACAGCTAGGGATATGTAGAGAGACCCTGTCTTAAAACAAAACAAAACGAAGAAATAATTGGAGCCAGGCTTCATACCGGGAGACAGTAGCAGGAAGATTACTGTGAGTCTGAGTCCAGCTGGGTTACATAGTGATTACTGGACAGTCAGGAATACAGTAGAAAGAAAGTGAGAAAGAAAGAAGAAAGGAGGGAGGGTGCCCGGCATTGGTGGTGCACGCCTTTAATCCCAGCACTCAGGAGGCAGATGCAGGCGGATCTCTGTGAGTTCGAGGCCAGCCTGGTCTACAGAGCTAGTTCCAGGACAGCCTCCAAAACAATACAGAGAAACCCTGTCTCAAAAAACCAAACAAACAAAAATAAAAAAAAAAGAAAGAAAGAAAGGAGGGAGAGAGGGAGGAAGGAGAGAAGAAGGGAGGAAGGGGTTAATATTCCGGCATCTGTACTGGCCTGCCCTTGGGTTCTGACAGGACCCGCCCTCAGCTGCAGTCAGTAAGAGCATCACCTGTGCACATTCACTATGTTCCCCCCGCCCTTTTTTTAAAAAATGCTCTGCCCATCTCCTATTCTTCTCTCTTTTTCCTCCCCCCTTTCCTCTCTCTTGCTGCTCCCATCCTCAAGTCCCGTCTCCTCCCCTCAACTTTCCCTTTTTTTTTTTTTGGTTTTTTCGAGACAGGGTTTCTCTGTGGCTTTGGAGGCTGTCCTGGAACTCACTTGGTAGTCCAGGCTGGTCTCGAACTCACAGAGATCCGCCTGCCTCTGCCTCCCGAGTGCTGGGATTAAAGGCGTGCGCCACCAACGCCCGGCTTCAACTTTCCCTTTTTAATGATCCCTTTCCCTAATAAAAACCCCTCTGCTTGAACCCTGGCACCACCCTTGTTAAATTACAACGTTGGTTCCCTGACCAAGAAGACTCTCATGGCCTCTCTTCCCGCCTGCGGGCAGTTTGAGGCACACCAGGACCCTGGAACCCAGTTCACACGCAACAGCCTCCCTTCTCCGGATCCAAAATCGTCATGATTGGTGACACACTCCACCTTCCCCAACTTAATCTATTCCCATGAGTGAGGACTCTTCTCGTCTCTCGAGCGTGGTTTCTTTCCTTTTGGCCTCAAGTTCTGGTACAAGACAACCATGGCCCACTCGGGCCTACTGGGTGGCCTGCGCCTATTTTGAAATCGACCCTCTCTGAATTCCTGGGATGCTAGGAATTGCAGAACCTTGGGTCTTACTTCTCTGCCTCACTCATGGGAGCTGTGTCATCGTCTATACCCCCTTGCTCCTACAGGGATGTGTTTTGGAGACCACTGACCATTCCTAATCAGCTAGTGTGGCAGGACTATCAGCTGTTGCCCAGAGCTGGAGGCACAAGACTACCAAACATGTCCGGTGATGCTGTGGTGATGGGAAAGGATCAGGTGCTTCAATCCCTAGGGAGTGCATTTGGATCCACCAAGAACGGCATTTTCCCAGGTGCAGGAGGCACCTTGAGGGTTCCACAGAGCCTGGACGGTGAAACGAAACAGCCAGCTACTCTAGGACATGACCAGCATCCCAGCTTTCCCAGGCCCCCCAAAAGATCAACGATGACCCCAGCTTATCAGGAAGTAGCTTTGAGAAGAGGACATCCTCACCCCTACCTCACCTGCTATCCCTTTCTAAAGCCTCATCTTTTTATGATAAATGAAAAGAGAAGGATGTTAGTATTCAGGCATCTGTACTGGACTGCCTTTGGGGTTCTGACAGGACACGCCCTCAGCTGCTGCCACTAAGAGCACCACCTGTGCACACTCACTATGCTCCCTTTTTAAATGACCCTGCTCACCTCCCATCCATATTTCTTTCTCTCCCTGTCTCTATCTGTCCCTCCCTTTCCTCTCTCCTGCTGCTCCCATCCCCGGAGGCCAGTCTCCCCACTCCCCTTTCCCTTTTTTTTTTTAAATTTACTTTTTGTATTTTTTTAAGGTATGAATGATCTGTCTGCATGTATGCCTGCAGACCAGAAGAAAGCATCAGATCCCATTGTAGATGGTTGTGAGGCAACGCGTGGTTGCTGGGAATTGAACTCAAGACCTCTGGAAGAACAGCCAGTGTTCTTAACTGCTGAGCCATCTCTCCAGCCCCCCCTTTCCCTTTTTTATGATCCCTTTCCCTAATAAAAACCCCTCTGCTTGAACCCTGTCACATAGCATCTTTCTCTCTCATGCTGATTTTCTTAAATTACAACAGGAGGGAGGGAGGGAGGAAGGAATTGTGACAGATGCTCTACTTTGCCTTTGTCCCCTCCCCTGTTTCAGGGCAACAGTTTCTAGACAGGTGTGAATATCATTCCTTAACTACTCTTGCCTGGATTGTCTCCTCAATATATACAGTGCCAACAGGTCAGATTACTGCTGCAATGCTGCAGTAAGATATGTGTCTAGTTCCTTAAACTGAAAATACTTTGTTTCCTTTCGATATTTTCACAGAGTTTTGTTTCCAAATTATTCCTGTTTACACTTTAAAGTGTGCAGGACAATTCATTTTATTTATTTTGTTTGCAATTATGTGATAAGAATTATTTATTTTGGCCAGACAGTGGAGGTGGCACATGACTTTGATCCAGAACTTGGGAGGCAGGGGCAGGAGGATCTTTGTTTTGATTTCAAGGCCAGCCTAGTCTCAAAGCAGTTCCAGGACAGCTAGAGCTACACAAAGAAACCCTGTCTCAA